TTATCTAGATCTCTCTGCAGGGCCTCTCCGCTCTCAAGACTGTCCACAGCTCCTCCCAATTTGGTGTCATCACAAGAAGAAACCTTAGTGGAGTTGTCCAGTGGTAAGATGACCCTTCAGGCATCACTAGTGTATGATCAGGGAAAAAATTACCATTTTCACACTCACATTCCAGCTCCTTGGGCATCCTCTGAAGTACATCAGGTTACATCCACGGTAATCCAGGATTCATTTGACACTGGTGCTTTTATATTGAGTGGTTCTCCATTTCATGAACCATCTTGATGCAATTCTGTCTGAAATGACAGAAAATATACTACTGACATCCTGTGACTTCCAGTCATCTGTGATTTCTAGTGTTTTAAGGATTGCAAAGACAGTGGATTTCTGGAAGTGCTTATGCATGAGTAGAGTGTGTCACAGAATGTTTAAATGTTCTGTATTGAAGAATAATGTATATACAGCGTGTGGGGTTGTATATTGGAACCCTTCAACAGCAGTTCATGAGAGTCAAGAATTCTGCATGCTGCCTTTTTTTAAGACTGAATCATGCTCATTAAAGCATACAAACTTTTTTGAAAATTCTGCTCTTTGAGAAGTTTCAGCTCCAGATTTGCTTCTTATTAATCAGGATGACAAAGGTTAAGCTTAATGTATTTGTTTACATAATCCTTTTGTGGAACTTGAGGAGATGGTGTTTTCCTGCTCTGAGGAGGGCATAATGTTCTAGTGCTGGGATTGGGGAGAGTTTTACCAGGTCATGTGAGTGCTTTATATTGTAGCTGCTTTTTTTAATTCAGGCTAACTAAAAGAAGAGGTGAACAACCTTTTTTAATGATAATTGAAAGGGTGGGACACTGACTGTCCTCTAGATACTCTACCACAATACAGAACTCCATAATGCAAACACCAAGGAAGCAGGAGGTGAGGTGCCTACTCCTGAGGAAGGAGCGTGGGCAGATGGTTGGGGTGTTGAACAAGTCTTGATTGATTCCTTTTGTGGTCAGAGAAACAAGAGTTCATATACAATGATTCTTAATCAGTTGGCCTGCCTTCAAAAAATACTGATGCCATCACTCTCTTGTCCCAGCAGACAAAACTGTTGGACCCCACAGGATGCCTGTTTGGATTAGAGAGGTTAAGGTTACATTTTTTATTGGATCTCAGAAAAATCTCTGTTTTCTAGGTTGAGAGAGATAGAAGAGAGGTTACATGGGTTAAAGGCATCCACCATATCAAAACCACCTGTCTTAAAATTTAAGGTATGTACATTCAAGAGATTTTTACTGAATGTTCTACTTGCTGTAAAAATACATCTACAATATGAGTTGTTCTACTTATTTTTTTTTTCCATGTACCTAGCTCTAATGTTGGTAGAATAATTTTAATGTGTTGGTTGTAGTGTGTGTGCATGTGTGTAACCATGTTACCGTATTCATATATTACTATTTACCACAAATATATGTGTTTATATGTAAATATATAAACCTGTATATAGATTGTTAATATATTGCACACACACACATATAACTGTGTGGGAAGGTAAAAGCCGTTTGGCAAATTACATTTATCATGTATCTTAAACAATTTCACTTCTTTGTTGATTAATCCATTTTCCTTGGGGACTACTTCTGACATGTCACATCTCTGAGCACATCTGATTGAATTTCCTCCAGCAGTGGATTTTCCTTCCAAAGTACACTGGTTTGACAATTTAGCACAAGTTACTTTTAGTCTCATTAAATAGATAGCTTGCTAATCAGCTGGATAAATTGCTACGGTTTCATATCACTGGGAAAAGGCATTTTCTAGCTTCTTGATGGGATGTGCAACACTTTCTAGTTGCTTAGCTATATCCTGAAATATTAAATTGTAAAAATTTGGCATGATAGATGAGAAGAAAATAGATTATTGTTTCCTAACTTGCCATTTTTCTTTCCTTCTGAGTTCAGAAGGACTCCTAAAAACCAAGATCAATCTTTAAGCCATAAAAAAGAGGAAACTAATGGTAATTCAATTTGTCATAGCCTTCCCCTTTTCATCACTGCTTAAAAGCATGTACCATACTATTATCTCTACCATCAAGGAAGCTGGAGTCAGGCTGCTACTCCTCTGGCACTGTGAAGGGTTATTCTTCACTCAGTTGTGTTTAAACTGACGATTTTTTTGAACAGATGCTTTTTAGTGGGAGCAGGAAAGAGAGGAAAAGAAAGGGGGAAGAAAAGAAGACTGTGTCAATCCAAATTACTGCTAGGTAATTTTCCATTGCAGTCCAGCCTTTTTCTTACCTTTACTGAAAGGAAGATGTTTGTTTTTGTGAAGCTTTACACTAGTGACTCCCATTGCTTGAGTACCATGCCTGAGACAGAGCTCCAGGGGAAGAGAGAGGCTTTCCATGAACATGATGACAAAGTGCTTCTGCCAAGGGAGGATTTCAACAAGGTGGTTGAAAGATGATTGCTCATTAGCAAGCCAGTCCAGCTTACTGAGGGTAACTAGCTCGTTGAAAGATAAGTAACTGCTTTGTAGGTACCAGCTACCTCCACCTTGTCTCTTCATGGCAGACCAGAGCTCTGGTTTGATCATGAGTTGCTATTCACCATAAATGCTTGATCCACAAATTACTTTGGTCTGTGTGATGCAGGACACTGGAGTCTTTGGCCACTGGTTTCCTTGAGCTGTATTACACAATGAAATGGGCATGTGCAGCTGTAATGGAAAAGGCTGGCCACTGCTGATGTGTCATCTCTTTTATGGACTGAATTAAATTAAGCTTCCCAGGCTGGGAGAAAGTCACTGCTCCTACATTAAGCAGAGTTAACACTTGCTTGATGTTGGGCAAGCACAAAGGTAGCTCTTGACAAGACAAGAACAAATAAAGCAGCTGACTTGGCTGGTATTTAATATTAGAGGAAATGGTCTGTGTTTGACTGACCCTTAGGGGAGAGAAGAAAACCCTTGAAGATATGGAGTGTCTTGTACTCTAATAATGCATTGAACAAGCCATCAGAATAAGAACTTGAGGATGAGGTATCTTTATGGTGTACTCTCCTCTACTTCTTCTCAGTTGGCATAATTGAATAAACTGCTAAATCATTAGGACCTGTGTGGGTTAAAAGCAAAGCCAACGCCCTGTTGTAAATGTAAAGCTTAGAAGCACAGCCTTTTCCCCACCATCTGTGTTAGAGGAATCAAAGTGAAAGGCTAAAGGGGCTGAAGAACATGAAAGCGTGGGGTATGGTGTGACACCTACATCTTTATGACTCTGGTGCATGAAAATAACCGTGTTGTAGGATGATTTTCAGTCACAGTGGGGAAGGGGAGGGCAGGATGTACCGCAGTTGCTCCCTGGTACTGAAAAGAAAATTCATTTAAATCTGGACTTGACAGTGTGCTGGCCCAAAGTGCTTCAGGATTCCTTAGCACTTCTTATTCAGGGTTACAGGAACTCTGCTGGAAGAAGCTCTGGATTGTACTTGACCTTATGCTTTGCATGTAATATCTGACAGTGATGTCAATGTTGAGATAACAACTACCACAAATTATTTATAAGATACTAGTGATTTACCACATGTAGCAGAGCTGTGAGAGCTTAATGGGATGCTTATGCGCAGCCTTATCTGAGAGGAGGAAGCTTTTAAATTGCTTGCAGAAATGTGCCTAGGAGTTCAACACACAACCCAGTTAAATTCCCCGTGTAATACTGGTGTTAAGTCTCTGTTCCCTTTGTCTGCTAAGGCTGCAGAACATTCCTGGGTGCAGGAATGAGTAGAAGCTGCTGCAGAGGTCTATATTTTCTCACTCAGGGAGGATGTTTGGGATCCTCCAGGCTGAAAGGCAGCACAGAAAGATGAATTGTCATCACCTTCTGTGTCTTATGGTTTAACATCACCACTAAACACGTTCATTTGTTCCCCATGCTTCCCTATGCACAAAAGAGCAACACTCCCTCACTTCTGTTGGCTCATTCAGCTTTTTTTTTAATTCTGAAAATACTGCAGCCTTAAATTAAATGGATTACTATTTGGCTCAGCTTCTGCTTAAAATACAAATAAATTAAGTCTTCTGAGTATGAATCATAACCAGGAGAAAAGTGCTGTCTTGAAAGGTCATGTTCTTAAATATTTCTTCTCTGTTGTTAAACATTTATAGGAGTATATGTGAAGTGCTCCACTCCTGCTTCTAGGAGAAACATCAAAATTAATAAACTTCTTCTAGAAAGATTTTAGTCCTCTAGGTTCCCGGTAGGTTTCATGACATGGCAGTCTCCTCTTCAGCCACTTTGCAACAGTGCTGAGAGTCTAATGGCTGTAATTTAAAGGACTTTGTTTTTGGAAGCCTGACTTTTAGATTTTTAGCATTCAGTGCTTTGATATTGGTCTGGTGCCACCAGTTAAGGTACCCACCAGTTGGTACTTTGTCTCTGTAAGCATTTCCAGAGCTGGAAGACCATGTGTAAGAAAATATATAGCAAAGAAAAGTGCCCTCCAAGAAGAAAGTATCTCTCTGTGGACACTGTTAATCTTGTGTTCATCAGTAGAAATTATGGAACAAACACCATGCACCATGTAACCACTGAAACTATTTACTTTTTGAGATTCTTGCCTCATCTGTACTTGCCTAAGGTGAATTCATGAAGACATCTTCTAAGCATCTGCTAGCAAGTATGAGCTGGCAGTCATTTCTGATCTCTTCCTGAAGCAGAAGGACTGTAATCATGTACTCCAGGCGCTCGATACAGGAATATCAGGTGGACAGGGTTAAAGGGTGCTTACTCAGTTTAAAGGATTGCACTGTGAATATCTGTTTCTATTGTGTTTGAAGATGAGAAAGCTTTCTGTGCACACTGCAAAGATGTAAGGGTCTGTGTAAAGCTTGATGATAAGAAAGAAGAGCAGCTTTGCGCTAGACGAGAGGGACAATATATATGACAGAGCAGTGCTTTGCAGCGCATGACATTGAGTAGCTTTGCTGAAGACCTAGTTTTTTGGGTTTTGGGGGGTTTTTTTTACCAGCTGAACTGGAACTTGTGCATTCTTTTGAAAGGGAGAGGTGGGGTACCATGCCAAGTCAGAGGAGGAGGAATATTTTGTGCAGTGGTGGAATCTGATAGATCATAGAATCATAGAAGCATTAAGGTTGGAAAAGACCTCCAAGATGATCAAGTCCAACCGTCAACCCAACACCAACATGTCCACTAAACTATGTCCTGAAGTGCCATGTCTACATGTTTTTTTAACACCTTCAGGGTTGGTGACTCTACCACCTCCCTTGGGCAGCCTGTTCCAATGTCTGACCACTCTTTCAGTAAATAAATTTCATAGCATCATAGAATGGTTTGGGTTGGAAGGGACCATAAAGACCATCCAGTTCCAACCCCCCTGCCAGCAGCAGGGACACCTTCCACTAGAGCCTTCAACACTTCCAGGGAGGAGCAGCCACAGCTTCTCTGGGCAACCTGGGCATTTCTCCTAATATCCAATCTAAACGTCCCCTGGTGCAACTTGAAGCCATTTCCTCTTGTCCTATCACTAATTACTTGAGAGAAGAGACCAACATACACCTCACTACAACCTCCTTTCAGGTAATTGTAGAGAGCGAGAAGGTGTCCCCTCAGCCCCCTTTTCTTCAGACCTCCATCTCCTTCTTACAGTGAGAGCCCAAAAGTGGGCTGAGACATCCTTGGGTTCGAACCCCCATGCTCTGCAGGTTTCCTGAACCTGATCTCTTTCTCACGTCGGTGACACTTGGCTCACGTGGATGAAACAGACTATTATTTCTACAGCCTCGCTCCATGTACTGACATATATTGAAAGGCACATGGGAATCCAAGCATCCTCCTCGTGCACTTAGCAAGAAAGCAGCAATTTCTCTTGCTGGTTAAGTAGCAGTGTGCTAGGAGTTGCTTGGTTGTAGTGCTCTGCAAACTGGGCACTACTATTGGGAAAGTTGCAGTGAAGGTTTGATAATGGTAAAATTAATTTTTTATATAAAAGAAAATACTCTATAAAGGGTAGAAAGTAATTTTTGACTTAGGAAAATACTTTTGAGTACAGAGTGTTATATTTTATTTTTCTAGGAGATGATGTGTGAGGGTTGGTAATGGGATACGAAGCCATTCACCTCTAGGTCACTGTTGAATCCCAGCCCCAGGTTGGCAGTGACCAGAAGTCATTACCACTGATGCCTGTTCAGTGACCTTTGGCAGATGGGCAGTTGCAGTCCAGGTTTACTCTCAGTGTCAGAGACAATCCTTTTAGGGCAAAGTCATGGTAGCTTTGGACAGCCTGAGAAGAGCCTGCAGAGTCACTCAGTGTGCTCTACCTGTCCTGGGTAGTGGTTCCTAACATGTGACATGGTGGCACTTTGGACAAGCACCGTTCTATTGCCTTAACACTAGGTGTTTTTCAGAGGTTGTACATCACACCAGCCTGTATGTGTGTGTAAATACTGTAAGTATTCTCTAGGTTGTCTTTAATACTCAGTGTAGCTTGCATTTCTACTTCATCAATGGATGTATGTAGCAAACAAATCATGGAGTACTTGGTTAGGGTAAGATTAAGGAGCTGTGGTAAGTTTTGGGAAGTTTCATGAGAAATAAGACTTCAATCTTGTGAAACTCATAGCATTTTCTTCGTGTCTTCCAAATTCTTCTCATTCCAGCCTTTCCAGTGTCGGTAGACCTCTTTCAGTTCAAATATCTGACTTGTTTTTCAGTTTTCTAACTATGTGGCACTACAACATGTAACTCTTTTCTCACAGCAAAAGGAAATGGGAAACAACCTTCATGTTACAGTATGTATGTTAAAAGTGGTCTTTGCCATTTTAACTTACCTAATACTGTACAAGTCCTTCAGGTGAAACTGAGAATTCAATTGAAAGAGAGAAATCCAGCCATGTTAGAAAGCATTATTTCTATCCTTATTAACGTGGGTGAAATCTCTCCTTAGGTTGAGAATTTCTTCTGTATGGGATCTCCATTAGCAGTGTTTTTGGCGTTGCGTGGCATCCGTCCAGGAAACAGCGGTAGTCAAGATCATATTCTGCCCAGAACCATTTGTAACCGCTTACTAAATATTTTTCATCCATCAGATCCAGTGGTGAGTTTTCATTGCGGTTGCAAGCTTTTACCTTGACTATTTTTAAGGACCAGTTGTGTGATAATGTGTGATCTTCAAAGCGTGTGAATCAACGCTTCCAGCACAGGACTGTGTGTTAATAATTACTGTACAATGTCTTGGTTTTTGTGATTGTAGAATAACAGTTTTTATAAATAATTGTCTTAGATACAATATACTTTTCTTCTCTTTCCATATTACTAAGCAGAAGATTCAAGATTACTCTGGGTTTTGTGGGTTTTTTTTTTATTTGGTTGGGTTTCTTTTTACACAAAGATTTAAGAAATAGTCCCTCTTAGTCAAGTTCCAACTCGTGTTTAACTTACTGACATCCATTAAACATCATCTGTCCAAAGGTAATATTAAAAAAGGCTGCACAAGCAGTTCACAAGATACTGTAGAAATACAAAAACAATAGTTGTTTTGTTTTTCCTGAAAGGGTCCAGAGTAACAGATTGTTAGAGGGAGTGGGATAGTCCTTGGAAGGGGCAGTATCAGTGTAACTTCACCCTGTCCTTATATTCTTCCATAGGCAGCCAGTGCTCACTGTTATCAAAGGGCCTTTGATCTCTATCACCTTGGCAACTTCTTTGATGCAAGTCTGATTTGGGATTTCATGCTTACTCTAGAATAGTAATTTGGGAGTGCTTTTGTGTTTAAATTGTACCTGAAGATGAGTATCTTCAGACTTCAAACACGTTGGTTCTGCTCATCTCAAGATCTTGTTCAGCTCCAGCTACTCCAAAACCAGAATTTTCCTGAGGCATCTAAGAGGTCAGGCTGCAATCTGTGGTCCCACTGTGCAAATAGTGCCAGTGCAGAATGCTTTTCTACATCTAAGTAAACAAAGGAAAATAAATAAGTGATAGAAAATGATGGTTTTTAATGAACAAGCCAATTCATGGTTTGCACAGGGATCGATGAAGAGTCATCAAACAAAATGTTTACACAGCCAGTTCCTCCCTCTCTGTTGTGTTGTGCAGAATGAGTTTCACTGTGTATAAAGTTTGCTCTGTCAATAACAACAAACATCTGTCAGCAATAACTTGTGTGTGTATAACAACGCGTAGTAGAAGTGTTGTAGAGAAATGTGTAAATATGAGTGCACAAACAAATGGGCAGTTAATATATCTTCCAGGCTGTGAAAATAAAAGTGAACCAGAACCTAATGCCATTATTTTATCACTTTCTAGGCTTTGCTCGTTACAGCTATTTTGGATTTGAGGTTGGAGAGGACTCCATATGGGAAGGGAATGTGATTTTTTTTTTTTTCTTTCTTTCAGTCTTGACACTCAAGATTTTATTTTCTGAATGACTCTTTGCAGGCCTATAGATTAGAACCTTTAATTCTGAAACACTACAGCAACATTTCACCTGTCCAGATCCACTGGTACAACACTGCAAACCCTCTACCTTATGAACATATGAAGCCAAGTTTTCTCAACCCAACAAAAGAACCTACCTCAGTAACTGACAGCGAAAGTGTTTCAACTGTACCGAGCCCAACTACTTCACCAGTCATGGTTCGACGCCACTACGGGGAGTCTATAACCAACATAGGCAAAGCCAGTATATTGGGTAATTGTTCTTTATATCCTTTTTTTTCTTTTTAATCTTTTTATATAGGACCTTCCCATAGAGCTTTGCTGTTGGAGGTGCAACCATAAACAAGCTATTCCTGGTTGTTTCACTTTGTTCTGTAAAGGTGTATGGCTTGTTTTAATCCCAACTGACATTTACTTTGATGAAAAGACAGTTTGCATACACTGGAGTCAAGGTTTGCAGGGAGAGGATGTGGGTCAGGGAGTTTATGTTATTGCTGCCTTATTGAAGTAACATGATTTAATAGTTTCCACTCTACTTCATGTTAAAAAAAAAAAAAATAAGCTTGTTTTGTGATTATGTTTTCTGGTATTGGCAAAAAGGAGAAAAAACACACTATGTAAGCTGTCCCAGTTCCCTTAACTTAAGATTTTACAGTAGGAAATTCAGGCTGGTTTAGGTTGAAGTCTGTCCTCTCCTGGCTTTCTGATTCAAAATAAGCCCTGGTTTAACGGAGCTTAAATTCACTTCCACTGGAGCTTATATCTGAGCGTGCACTTGCAGTTTTTGTTGACTCAAGGCTTTTCTTGAGCTCCCTATGTAGGATTTGGAAGAAGACTAATGTGACCTAATGCCAGGAAATCTCAATCAAATAAGTAAAGTATATAAAAGCAGTTTAGTCCCTAAGTAGAAATAGGCAGTATTTCAAATCAGAGTCGCTTTTTGCTGTGTTACAATAGGAATTTTAATGTCATGTCCATAAGGTGGCAGCAAAGTCGGGAGAAAACATCACAGATCTGTTTTTAACTTTTACACCCCTCATCCTAAGCAACCAAAATAGTGCTTTTAAAGGATGATGGAGCATTTCTAAATATCTATAACCTACAGAAGGACCCTTAATAGGAGGAGTGTCTTAGTTGTCTTGATGCGATTCTTATGTGCAGAAGGTACTAACATTGTTACAAAGCATTTTTATCTTCATCTTAGACTTTTATAAAAAGAGGAATTACAACATATCCTTACAAGTACCAGATTTCTTGCTGCAGAAGCTTTCTCATGTATTTCTGTTCCCCTAACTACAGTTTCCAAATTATAGCCTTTGCTTGTACTCTAGATGAGTCTCACGATAAACAGTGTACACTTTAAGTCAGATAAGCTGTTCCCACCCTAGAAAAGCATGAATAGTGTTTTCCTTCGTCTGTCACTCAACTCTAATTGATGCGTGCTAAAGTGACTTTAATTTGTGGTTTGATTTAGCTGCCTTTGTGCTTTTTTTTCTTTCCCCCTCTGTGCTGAACTCACAGGAGCTGCGAGTATTGGGAAGGGCCTCGGCGGGATGCTTTTCTCAAGATTTGGTCGATCTAGTACAACCACCCCACAAACACTTGAGACAGGAAAAGATGGAGCTGAGGGTGACGACAAGAAAGCCACCACTGTTGGGACGCCGCCTTTGCCGCACAGCAGCTCGGGTTTTCTCGAACCTGTAGGTCAGTGATGAGTCCACCTTAAAAACCCCATGGAAACAAGATCTTTAGTGGGTGACATCTGGATGTTGTGGGAGGCTGGAAATGCCATAACATATGCCACTCTTGGATTTTGTTGGTCTGCTCTAATGCGATGAATACTAGAATCATAGACTGGTTTGGGTTGGAAGGGACCTTAAAGCTCATCCAGTTCCAACCCCCCTGCCAGCAGCAGGGACACCTTCCACTAGACCAGGTTGCTCAAAGCCTCATCCAACCTGGCCTTCAACACTTCCAGGGAGGGGGCATCCTCAACTTCCTTGGGCAACCTGTTCCAGTGTCTGACCACCCTCACAGTGAAGAACTTCTTCCTAATATCTCATCTAAACCTCCCCTCTTTCAGCTTAAACCCATTTCCCCTTGTTTTGTCATTAACTGCCCTTATGAAAAGTCCCTCCCCAGCTTTCTTGTAGCCCCTTCAGGTACTGTAGGCCCCCTTCAAGTACTGAATCCATTCCCCCTTCAGGTATTGAATCCATTCCTGTTTTTTTAATCTCTTAAGACTGCCCAAGGACTGACACTTTGTTCTCCCTTTTCTCCTTTTTTCTTTTAAAGGAGGTTTATCTGTACATGTATTTGTACATACATATACACCACTTACAGACATATATATATATATGCATGGATGAGTTTTGGCTAATGATATCTGTGTGTCATTAGTTCCTAGACTCCCACTAGGAAAAGCAATATAATTGCTGCAGAGAATCCCATAAACCATTTCTCTTAGAATGGATTTATTTAAATTCCCTCATACATTTGCAATTCTGAAGCAATTCTTCTGGATTTAAAGGCACGTATGGCTGGAAACAGCAGCTACCCTTGTCCTGATCTGAACTGCCCAGAACAGAAAGTACAATTTTAGCAGCTGGTTTTCTGGAAAAGTATAGGTACTTCCTTTACAGGAACTCATACTTGATTTTATTTCTAAACTTCTCATTGGCACTGTTACAAGGCGGGGATTTTTGCAATCTAAGGAGTCACAAGTACATTATATCTTGTGATAGCCTTCACATGATACATTGCTGTCCATTCATCACTGCTCATTTCAACAGATAACCTGTCTGAGTCACTATTTGAGGACAGAGACTTTGTTTTAAACTTGAGAAAAACAGAGTGGCACGACAGCGAATATTGTGGAGCTCCTGCTGAGGTCCTTTTGCAGGGGAGTTGGCACATCAAGGATGTTCTGCATGGTTCCTGCATCCCTCTGTGCTGAAAGCCCGTCCCTGCTCCATAGAAGGAGAACATGGAGCGGAGGCCAGCGAGGCTGAAAGCTGCATGATGCAATCCACCACCAAAGTATTTGCTTCTGAGAGGGCGGCCGCTCGGCTTGTGGTGGGGTTTGGCTGCCTCCCAAGCTCCTGTAACGGCCTCTCGTCGGAGGGAGACGGAGCCGGTCGGGGCGTCCTTCCTGCAGGACAGCTGTTTTTTTGAATATATGCATTTTTAGTGGAAATGACTGCAGTCATCTGCTGGTATTGGAAGGTTCTGACTCCCTCTCCACGCTGTGTTTGCAAAGCAGAGCAATGCTCCTGTGAAAAGACAAAGGCACATCCATCCCCAAGCGCTGCCGAGGCGATGCTCCCTTCATGCTCTCTTTGAGCCAAGAATGAAAATTCCTTGAAACTGGCTTTGATAAATGGCTGCATTTTTTACTCAATATGGGGTTTTGGCTTTTGTAGCTAAGCAGGCTTTTAGTTTTGTCCTTTTTATTCTATTGCTCCTTGTAGAGATGTTCTAACCGCTAAAGTGCCTTAACAATAGGTTAGCTGTTGGCCCAGTTAAACATGCAGTGAAAATTGATTTGAATGTGGTATTAATCAAACCCGCCATTGAAAGGAAAGGATGACTGCTGAAATATCTTTGGAATAATCTGGAAATGGAAAGGGCTAGTGCTGTGTAGGGACAGATGGTTTTCAGAAAGGGCTTGTAATATGGGGTGTAGTCTCCTTGTATAGCCACTAAAGATGCAAGAAGTCCCATTTATTTTGGAAAGTTTGGAGCATCCACCTTCTGAAAGTCAGTGTTTTCTCATGGAGCCTCAACATTTCACAGAATCACAGAATTGCCCAGATTGGAAAAGTGTCATAAGATCATCAAATCCAATCATTAACCTCAC